CTAGCCTGTGGAACCCTTCATGCATAGAGAGAAAATGGGAGCGAGGGAAGATTTATATATTTACCATCCTAGTAAGCCTTCCAATCCCCCAAATTGCGCCAGATTTTCCATTGAGAATGAGACATGCTGCAGGGGCGGCACTTCGGAAGGAAGCCGTCTAAGGGTCTAACAGGGGCGATGCTCTCGCGCCCGCCAGGAGTCGATTCAGCTGATTGGTGCAGATGTCGAGTGTATCTCGACGGGCAGATCTGTCGGATCTCTTTCGTTCAAAAAGGTCCACCGGTTTCTCCCACCGGTGCTTTGCGACGCACTGTTGGTTCCAAAAACGGTCCCACAAAAGGGCCCATGGTGGTGGAACCCATTCGGTTCGTGTCGTGGCTCTGGTGATGTGACCGTCGGTCTCCCTTGGAATCCAGTGCTTGGACACCCACGAATGATTGATTATCCATTTAAGTACATAGTCCATCATAGTCCATGAAGTGTCCTGTTGGCCCAGCCCTCATGAGCCTCCGCGGCCCAGCCCTCACCAGTCCTGTCGGCTCCTTTGTGCCAAGGTCAAGGTGTCGTGGTGTCCTTGATGAGGCCGTGCGGGTCCTCACGGGGCTGGCCGAAGCGGCCGGTTCGTAGGGTTCGACCTGACTTGAGGGCGGTCGATGAGAAGTCAAAAGGGCTTTTTCGGGGTCGATGTCTCGACTTCGAAATGGGTTTAGTATGGTTTTGTACTGATCCTTAGTGACTAAGTGCGTATGAGGCCACCCTGCCAAAGGCTCACCGGGACCACAGACACCAAGGCCGTAAGCGTAAGACCAACCTCCACCAACACCTGGCATGTCCTGACACGCACTGCTTCGCCGATGATCTTGCAAAGATAGAGCTCACTCCCCACCTTGAAGCCTTTGGTAGAGCTTCAAGAGCTTCCGAGTTGATGTCCGCAGGAACTCCGTGCCGCACTTCACCATGGCCTTTGAGAACGAACGCGTGGCAGGCCGATGTCTTCCGTAAACATCACAAGCAGGTCCCCCGCGGGGTCCCCCTCGGACCCCGCCGACCCCACAGACCGTCCCCACCGCTCGAATGGCTTCGCTCGAAGGCCTTTGGGCTACGAAGTTGGCGGTGGCCTGTGGCAGCTCCGAGAGCATCTCCAAGCTCTTCAGCACGCAGCGCCGGAGGATCCATGCTCTGGAGATGCGCACCGCGGAGGCGCAACAGAGCAACGAGGACCGATGGCCTGGCCACGGGACGGGGGGAGTAGCACCGGGGCAGCACGGGTGGCAGCCCGGGATGTCGTGAAGGTGTTTTTTTTGGGGGCTGGTGCGTTTGGCGCGAGGGGGCTGTGGGGATGGCGTGGCTAGTGTGATAGACGAGCGTGTCTGGTGTGGGTGGCAGCGAGTGGTTCTGGGTGTCAGTGAGTGGTGTGGGTCCCCCGGAGTTCATCATGTATGGATTTTGGGAAAGAAGATGGTTGAAACCCGCGAAAAGAGTGCAAGTTGCAAAGATAGTCTTGCACTTCTGGCGTACTTGTTCCACTGCCTTGAGCAGGAATCCTTCAAGAGGGTAAACATCATTTGCTGTGGAGTTCGAGTATATATTCAGGAATGATCCGCAAGAAACTCATGTGCAACTTGTGGCCGAGTTGACTTCTGAATATTACACATGTCACATGCCTAAGCACTATCCCTGCAGATAGTGTTTATCCAGTTTCAGGCAGATCTTGAGTCATTCTTAGAGATTCAGGGAATTTCTATTGAGGAACAGACATGCATTTCTGGGAGAGGGGCCTCGAATCAAGGCCCAAGTCGTCCCTATCATCTTCTCCCAGCAGAGTCGTCTCCTTTCGCGTCGTAGGAAGTGGAAAGATGCTTAAACTTCCTCAGCAGAGAGTATGTGGAAATGCGCTACCAGGCCGATTCGGTCAAGAGACGTTTGACTGACCGCAATCGTCTACTCCAAAAAGGAAGCTTCACCGCCATATGCTTCGAAAGAGACATGATGAGAAGTTGACATTGGACACAGGGCATATATCCTGGCCTGATTTGGGGAATCAAGGAATCAACTTGAGGAACAAGAGCACACATTCCACATTCTTCTTTTGAACCTCCAAGAGCAGCAGTTGCTCATGAACATCTACTGGGCAGATTTGGCACTTATTGAAAAGAAATCCAAGACCTGTGCGGGCTCGAAAGGATCTCTTGTTTTAGCTTGGTTTATCGGAAGTTTATCGAGGAAAACAGGAGCGATGTTGATCATGTGGACAGGTTTGACATGTTCTTAGAGGACGTCTTGATTCGTTCTCAAAGGAGTGGGCTATATATATATATATATTTATACACACTTGTGAAAACAGTTCCCGCTGAACTGTATCTGACATTCTTGCAGATAGTTACTGAGTTTTTTTTCTGCCTGAACCTTGAGCTTCCTTTTCAAAATTGGTGGGACAATGGGCACCCCATACCCTAAACCCAAACCCCTTTTGGACCCTTGATTGGGCTCTCAATGAATCCGGCTCCAAATGTCCCAAGTGTCCCGAGTGTCCGACGTCTTAGAGAAACACATCGGGAGTGATGTCTCACCCCGCATGCGTCCAGATGGTCCCCCTCATCAGAGACACCTCCGGTGGCGGACCCCCCCCATACCGACCTCCCTGTGACCCCCGCGGTGGACACCGGGCGGGTGCGGGGACACCGGGCGGGTGCGCCCCGGTGGACATGCCGCCAGCGAGGTGAGGCGACAGGTCCCTGCATCGCCGCCCAGAGAAGTTCGAGAGGTGGGGTGTTCGAGTGGGTCTGTGGACCTGAACATCTCTGGGGTCTTTGAGTCTTATTGCATGAGACACTCTTTTTGGTGACTTCTTTTTCCACTTCAGTGCCCTGAGCAACTCCTGTGGTTTTGGACTTACAGATACTTGCATCTTCAGCTCCAAGGGATTATTCCAGTTTCGGAAATGAGCTGGCCATCCCTGGATGAGTCATCACTGGATGAGTGCTTGTGAACAGCTAAAAAGGTCCAAATGTCCTCACCCTGAGCAGCTAGCAACACCTTCAGAAGCTTCCACAGACCACGAGAAAAACGCCGAAAGGCATCTGCTTCCTCGCCCCGCCACGCAGCTTCCAGATGTCCGCCGCGCGTGGAAGCCGCCAGCGCGTCCTTCCCGCGATCCGATCGAAGGAGGAAGAGCCGTTGCTCATTGAGGACATCGACCCCCCGAAGCTCCCTTCCGAGCCCGAGAAGGAGACGTGATGCGTAGCGTCGCGTAGCCCTTGGTGGTCCAGCGCGGGGAAGTGGAGGGATGGAAGCTGCTGGAAGCTGGAAGGATTTCCTTTCTTCTGCCTTCTGATGCTACCCAAAAAAGGCGGGCATTTCCACAAGGACGACTGCCATTGGTAGCGCAACATTTTGCCGAGGGATTTTATAAGTGTTATAATAAGCAGTCTTTATCATTTTTTAATCAGTGAATTGCATTGCATGCTAGAAATCCCTCGAGTGATCCTGAGTTCAACGAGTTTACCAAAGCCCCAAACACTGTGGGACGACAAACCAAAGCCCCCCATGCGGGGGAACCCCACAAGGCGACTGACTGCAGCATGCGGGCCATGGGCAAGTAAGTGAAGTGGGACCAGGCTGAATGGGATAGTCGATGTTCCAATTTAGACATGTCTGCTGGCCTGAGTTAGTGGCAAGCGCACCAATGGCTGGAGTTTCCTGGGTGGACCAGCAGAATGCGGATGAGCATCAGACAACTTCAAATCTTCAAGTCTTTCAGAAGCACAATATGGTTGGTTGTCTCAGAGAAAGATCTAAAAAACCACCTGGTCCCAATGACTGTGGCTGCGAAACTCATAACCGGAATGCTCTCCCTTTTGAAGCATCCGAACAAACTACCGAACGACCTCGTCTCCACCGCACGACCTCGCGCCCGACTCCGTGATCGCGCCAGATCTCTCCGCAGGAGCCCTTGAACTCCGCTCGGACCGGAGCTTCGGGAGGGTGCGACCTACTGGAAGAGCCACGAAAGGTGCCCCAACGATCGGTCAGATGTTGGGGTCAGGAGGGAGCGTTTTGGGGTCAGGAGCGAGCACGTATCCTTTGGCTAGTTAATGCCAATAAGACTGCAAGGTGCTCTTTTTGCACGGGCCTGAATCGCATGATTGACATGACTTTTTTCCCGTTGGATTTTACCTTGTTGGTTTTCTAGGATTCCTCTCATCTTGGAGTATCATCCCAAATACATCCTTGGAGTATTGTCGAAGTTGGATGAATTTTTGATTCTGCCGCTTCTCGAGAGACGGACCAATGTTCTTGGTTCTGCCTCGCAGGTGGCCCCGCCTCCATGCGGGGGAACCGCCCCGTGTTTGCTGGGAAGCCCCAGCCAGCGAAAAAGTGGACGAGAGAAGCCAAAGAAGGAGCTTCCAGTGAACCTGAAGGCGGATGGGGCTTGGGGTCTTGTTCCTTTGTCTTTGTCTTTTTCTTGCGGGTTTTTGGAGCCCGCCAAATACAGTAGCTGTACTTTTCCTTGTTGTGACTGGATGGGGGGGAGAAAAATTGACTACTGCTCAGAAACCGAGCGCTGTTCATGTTCTGCAATCTTCATGACCTGCAAATGGCCGACCAATCTCGTTGTTGCGAGGAAGCCGTTGAGCCGCGTGCGGAGCAGAAAGCGGGAGAGGAGGACTGGAGGGGAGCGGTCAAGGATGAAACCAGTGATCTCCAAATAGATAGTGGCACGGTTTCCAAGACAATCTTGGGGATCTACGTTTCTATCTATTTGGGGCCTTCATTTGCAGGTCGGTTGGAAGGGGTCAAACTCGATTAGGCGGATTTCTAGGACGAGTTGGTTTGCTTTTGAGGCTTCTCGGACAAAAGTCCGGCATCCTGTACATGGAATTCCCAACCACCAACCCGAAGCAACCATTCTCTGCAAATTAATTAAACAATCCCCAGAAGTTGGTTGGGCAGAGGATTCTTCAGGAAATCTGCGGTTCTCCGTTTTTTTTTGTTCCAGTGTGGCTGGCCACAACAATTCAAGGGGTTTGATGTTCAAGGAATTTTCAGACCTGTTTTCGGGCACACAGCGCATTGAAGAAAACTCCTTGAGGTTTTTCTCCTTGCACCTTGCAGCCATCTGGGAGGCCCAAACCACTCCTTATGGGGCCCCAGGGAGTGTGACGTCAGGATGGAGATTTTTTTCCGTTTTTTTTTTTTTGTCAGTTTTTTTTTCCCCCTACTGTTTTTGCTTTTGCTTCTGCTGGGAGTGCTTTACCAGCACTAGGAGCAGCAGAAAGGGCAGGGGACGAAAAAAAAAAGCCAGCGTGACAGTGACAAAGGGAGGGAACAGAAAAGGTATTCCACTTACTAGGGACTTCTTTGCGGTTGTCTTTAGCTTCACTGGTTTTGGGTTTCTTTGGGCTCGGTTTCTTGTCTTTAGGGTTTCTTTATGCGTTCTTCCGGAAAAGGCATCCCACTTAACGAAGGAGAAGTAGGAGGAGAGAGGAACTATAATAGGGACTTTTCTGCGGTTGTCTTTGGGTTTCAGTGGTTTCGGGTTTCTTTGGGCTAAGCAAAGTAGAAATCCACCTTTGTGGCAGCGTCAAGGCAAAGAAAATAGTAGTTGAGGTAACTGTGGTAAGACTCGTAGCGGGGTGGTCCGAGTGATAGAGGTACTGGAAATAGTAGGGGTGGTGGACAGTAGTGGCCACTATAACTATAGAGATGCGGGAGGGGGGTGCGGGGGAGGGCGCAGCGCCTCCCCCGCAATGCAATCAAATATAGACAGCGCTGGGCTGCTTCGTTTCTTGATTGGTGTAATTGGGTCAAAGCTCAAGGTGAAGGTCTTATCATCCAACTTTGTGGCAGTGTCAATGCAAAGAAGATAGTCAGCAGAAGCAAAAGCAGAAGCAAAAGCAAAGGCAGAAGCAAAAAGCAAAAGC